GGTTGTTTCCAACTCTTTGCTATTGTGAACAAAGCCGTGATAAACATGGGTGTGCATATATCTGCTTGGGTGGCAATTATGGTTTCTTTGGGGTCTATTCCAAGTAGTGGAATTTCTGGGTCAAATGATATTTCTATTTGCAACTTTTTGAGAAAACACTATACAGCCTTCCATAGTGGTTGTACCATTTTACACTTCCACCAACAATGAATAAGGGTTCCAGTTTCTCTACAACCGCACCAGCATTTACTATTTGCTGTTCTGTTAAATTGTGCTATTCTGACTGGGGGAAGATATCTCATATTTGTTTTGAGAAATGGGAGCCGATTTGGCCCTCGGGTCATAGTTTTGATGTCTGTTAGGACGGCAGCCTAAAAGCTGGTACCATGTCTGTGGAGGTGTTCCTTTGGAAGGGGTGGACACTCCGTCAGTCCTCATTGACTGTAGGCACCATCTCTCCCTCTGGAACTGAACTGACCTTTCTGCCAACCCCCCCACAATTCTTCTGCAGTATGTGGGCGCCCCAGTGGCATACATCCAGCAGATATTTGTGAAGTCCTCAGTGTCCCCCTGGCACAAGAACCTCCTCGCGGTTGATGTATTCCGCTCACCTCTGTCCCGGGCGTTCCAGCTGGTGGAGGAGATCCGGAACCACGTGTTGAGAGACAGGTACCCTTGCAAGGACTCCAGCCTCCTTGAATCCCGTCCTGAACTGAAGGCAGGTGACAGTCCTCAGTGTCGCTTCCTTAGCCAGCCCTACAGAAGCAGCCGGCGCCCCTAGACCTTTGTGAGGGGCACAGGTAGACCTGAGCTGCCCCCTCAGATCTACCCTGCATAGGTGCTCACTGGGCTCTGTGTCAGTCTGCCTGTCACTGGATGTCTTCTGCGCCTGGGTTACAGATATGAACGTGACAAGACTGAAGAGAAACCAGCTCTTCCTGAGGTTCACGTCCAAGCCCCTGGTATCCTCCTCAGCCCAGCAGTGACTTTGCAGCTACAGGCTTATTTAGTGATGGCTTGCTGGGCAGCATTTTTGTGCATTAAATGCACCTCTTAATTTTCACCCTACCCCCTCTTGCTCACCGACTCAGCCCGAGTATTTGGGTGGGTGGCACCGTGCACGAGCCTTCCCTCTGAGGTCAGTCAGCCCCACGTGCACTTCAGAGCTGGACAGCTGGCTGGAAAACTGTCCTTCCACTGCCCTAGTCCTCAGGCTCCCTGGAGGGACCAGAACACGGGCAGGGCAGCATTGAGGGACCTGATAGCAGCGCTGCCCTGTGCATGTGGACTGCCCTGTGCTGGTGGACACAGCTGGTGCCCCGTCCTGTCTCCTGCACAGCTCTGGGACCAGAGCCCTGGATGAGGTGTGTCTGCAGGTGACTGACCTGCTGCCAGGCCTCAAGAAGCTCCGGAACCTACTCCCCGAGCATGGCTGCTTGCTGCTGTCCCCTGGGAACTTCTGGCAGAATGACCGAGAACGCTTCCATGCCGATCCTGACATCATCAGGACGATCCACCAGCACGAGCCCAAAACCCTGCAGACATCGGCCACGCTCAAAGGTACCGAGACGGCTGCCCCGGGCCTGCGGCGGTGCTTGCCAGCGTCCCCTGCTTTGACGAGCCTCTAGCCAATCAGTGACCTGAGCAAAGGCTCCTGATGCCTGGCCCGGTAGTGGATGCTCATTCTTTGCCTGTACTTGCTGGTTTCTTTGCTGTCTTTCTGTCTGCAGACTTGCTGTTTGGGGTTCCAGGGAAGTACAGTGGGGTGAGCCTTTACACCCGGAAGAGGATGGTCTCATACACCATTACCCTGGTCTTCCAGCACTATCACGCCAAGTAAGACTGCAGCACTGGGCCCTGACTGGCCTGTAGACGGGCAGCCCCACCCCTGTCCTGCTCAGGTGCTCAAACTGCTCTCTGAGCTCACAGCGCGCTGGCCTTCTGTTGAAGTGTTCACTGCCCTTAGGCTGAAAGAGACTGGCTGCTTACGTGTGAGCGAGGATGTGCTGACAGCTGGTTTAGAACAACGTGTTCAGGTCCCCGAGTTTAAATCCAGCACCTGCTGCCTCCACTGCCCGTCCTGAACTAGCATAGATGTCCCCAGCTGGTCTTACTGGGCCCCACGTGGCCTCAGAGTCCTTCTTCTCATTACTGCAGAGAGCGTTCCAGTGACTGACAGGGCTCCTTGAGAGGCCTCCACTCAGCTGTCCCACACTTTCGGCCCTAGCAGTGGGTGATGGGGATCCCAAGAAAGAGCAGGGCTTCCTGAGACAACTTTGCCAGCACCTCTGGGGACAGTGGAGAGTCCCCCTCTAACACAGCGGAGGTGAGGGGAGACTATCTGTCCTCTGCCAGAGAGACCCTCCACCCCCTGCCACCTCTCCACGTGCAGGTTCCTGGGCAGCTTGCGTGCGCGCCTGATGCTCCTGCATCCCAGCCCCAACTGTAGCCTCCGGGCGGAGAGCCTGGTCCACGTTCACTTCAAAGAAGAGATTGGCATCGCTGAGCTCATCCCCCTCGTGACCACCTACATCATCCTCTTTGCTTACATCTACTTCTCCACGCGTAGGTCCCTGGTGGGCGCTGGGGACTGCTCCGGGCAGATAGGCATTTCCAGGTCACCCACTTCCTGGCCTCAGCACGTGGCCCTGGGCAGCGAGGTAGACAAGTGTGGTGATCACAGTGCCCAGGGCCTTGTGCCCCAGCAGAGCCCAGGGTGCTTGGATGGGTATAGGGCTCCTCCTACTTATCAAAGACATGAACCCCCACGGGGTGCATCGTGTCCCTGAGGCTGTGAAGGGCCCGTGGCCACCTTTTCTTCCGCTGGCGCTGGAGCTGTGCTCCCTTGATCCTTCCAGTGGCCCTGCTTCTGGGACTCAGACGAGAGGGGCCTGTGAGGGTGAGGAGCCGGAGCCACTGCCCCCACACGTCCTCTCTACCCGCAGGCAAGATCGACATGGTCAAGTCCAAGTGGGGGCTGGCCCTGGCCGCCGTGGTCACTGTGCTCAGCTCACTGCTCATGTCCGTGGGGCTCTGCACTCTCTTCGGCCTGACGCCCACCCTCAATGGCGGGTAAGCCCCTAACCCACTCCACAGGGCTCCAGGTCAGACAGCCTTACCTGCTGGCGGTTCCCTGCCCCAGGCTGTGCCCTCTGCCATCATCCCATGTCCTCACATGATTATATTTGATGGTGAGAGGAAGGTATTTTTGTCTTCTTCATATTACACGTCATACTCATTCACACACTTTGTAGATGGGCATATGTACGGGCATTTACTATGTATGTGTGTTATTACAAATACATAACTTGTACGTGGCTGTATAGTTACATGGTAAATGTACACATGCATACAGCTTCTTGATGGCTTAAGTCGCAGATGTTCAGAGAAGGAATAGAGAAAGACACATTCTGTCCTTTTTAAAAATGAAAACATTTAAATTCCTGAAAAAGTGTATCACTTTGGAGTAAGCTTTTACAAAGATGGGGAGGTCTGGGGGTGTAGTCTGCAGGGAGCGGCACTGGTCACTCAGCGGGCAGCCCCTTTCGGGCGGTTCAACTGCCTGCGACTCTGCCGGAGAAAGACCAGCAGCCTCCTCCTCTGCGAGGTACAGCCTTGGAAGACCCACCGGCAGGTCTGCTCTGAGCCGGTTCTGATTCAGAAGCAGTGAGTTTAAGACACGACCTATTTATATTTTGGTCCCTTTCACATGGCCGTGTGTATCTGGACCCCTCCCTGAATCGGCCCCTGGGTTGTCTTCTTAGCGCTGATGAAGCCCCACCTTCCCCTGCGTGGGCCACTGACACCACCACCCCCATCCCGGGGCTTGTCAGGCGGGTGACAGCAGAAGGAATTAGTTGGTGTCTATTAATCATCTTGCTCATGCAGCACCTCCCTTCCCTGACCCTGGTGGCATTAGACACCCCTCCCCACATACCTTTCCGCGGGACCGTCGACAGGCCCCTCATGCCCCATCCCCGTGACAGCAGAGGCCCTGGCAGATCCGCTCTGTGGGAGTTCCTGGCTCTCACGTGATTCTCTGACAATGAAGTGACAGGGAACCCTGGTGGTGCTGGTGGTAACAGAGAATCTGGTGGTGTGGGCCCCCAGTCACAGCAAAAGAAACGCAGCTATCTGTTCCCACAAAAGCCGCAGCCTGGAGCCCTGCAGAGTGGCTCTGCGCTGTCCGTCGGTGGCTGAGTCAGAGCCGAGAGCGCACAGTGACGGCAGCACCGGGGCAGCGGGCCTCGGAGAGCGAGGAGTGTCTGCTTTAGACACGCTTGTTCTCCCCAGACTCGGCCAGCAGATAGGCTGGTTCTGCCCTTCCTCCCAGTCGTAGGGCACGGGCCTGCACGTGTTTCTGTGAGCTCTCGGTGGTGGTCACTCTGGGGGTGGTGTCTGGAAAGTTGGGGTCTGGTCGAGGAGAGATAGGAGCTCTCCTCCCACTGCGTAGATGGACGGAAGTGGGCCTGAGCAGTGTGGACAGACGCCCTGTGAGAAGTGAGGAGGGTGGGCTTTGTCCTGAGCTCTGGGAGCCTCCGTCTTCGCCACAGGCTGTGGAAGCAGCAGCCTTCCACACTGAGAACCACCTACCTGAGGACTCCCCCTCACTGTGCCCACACTCTCTGTTCCCCAGAGAGATCTTTCCCTACCTGGTGGTGGTGATCGGGCTGGAGAATGTGCTGGTGCTCACCAAGTCCGTGGTCTCGACCCCCGTGGACCTTGAGGTGAAGCTGAGAATTGCCCAAGGTAACGCTTTGGGAAGGTGGGGGCTGTCCTAGTGTGGGGTCCCTTTGGGGCTGTTTCCTGAGGAACTAGGGGACCCCTCAGTCCCATGCACCCCAAGGAGCCAAGGGCATCTGTCTGGATGCCCTTTGTCCTGACTCGTGGGTCACGGGGAGAACAGCCTGAGTTCTACATGGCCCACGTGCTTGGTGGTCTTCCGTCTGGAGCCCTGTCCTCCCTTCTGCCTCTCTCCATCCCCCACACTGGGTCCACCAGGGTCACTGAGGTGCTGTCAGAGAAGCCCCCCCAGCCTCACTGTTGCTGAGGAATGAAGTGAACAGCAGGTCCTAGTCTGGAGACCTGGACTCCTGCGCGTTGTCCGTCTGACCACAGGTCTGAGGACCAGGTCTCAGAGCAAGCTGCTCCGTTTACACGCCTCCAGGAGGGTCAGTGATGAGCTGGGCCCACCCTGACTGAGGAGTTCGGAAGAGACTGGGCCGTGGCTTCCCAGCCTGGGGCCTGAGCCGCACACGCGTGACCTTGTAATGACGTGGATCGGACCTCAGTGTGGAGAGGGGCCTGCCAGCCACGTGGCGGGAGAGCAGGCTCACAGGCTGTGCTCACGTGGGCTAGACCAGGACAGCGTGCGGACGGGGGTGTCTGCGCAGCCTGCGGACGGGGGTGTCTGGACAGCGTGTGGATGGGAGTGGCTGCAGTGGGTGGTTCTTGTTTCCTCAGGCTGCTCATCTTACTGGCCTCTTCGTCCTGTGCTGGGCTTCGCTGAGACCTGGGTGGTCCTGGTTCTCCCTAGTCCCGAGCAGCAGCTGTGTGGCACTGGCGGCGGTGCCTTGGAGCCAGGGCCTGGGCAGGGCCTATGAGTCAAGCACCCCAGTGGGATGGCTGCCTCCAGGGCTGTGCACCCACCAACCCCCAGCCTCCAAGCGCTGCTGGGTGTGCAGACCCGTGGTGGAGGGAGGGCTGCACTGGTCCCACAGCCCCTCCGTCTGTTCTCTGCAGGCCTAAGCAATGAGAGCTGGTCCATCATGAAAAACATGGCCACGGAGCTGGGCATCATCCTTATTGGCTACTTCACCCTGGTACCTGCCATCCAGGTAAGGCCCTGGGCCTGAGCCTGGAGCATGTGGGGTCCCCTGTGACGGTGTGCAGGGAGCTGCCTCCGTTGGTGGTATCCCCAGAGGTGAGGACTCTGTCTTACGCATTGGTGGCTAGAGGGGTGCAGGCTCCTGGGGTGGCTGGTTCAGGAGAAGCACCATTTGTCCGGCTGCGTTGTGGCTCTGAGCTGAGTATGCCCTGCCTTTGATCCCATCCTCTTCCTCCCTGGCTGCTCCTCCCTGGAGCACAAGGACAAGAGTTCCACGTGGTCCGGGGCTGGCTGTGTGGTCAGGGACCATGCTGGTTCCAGTCAGAACTTTTCCCGTTTCCCAGACAAACAGGCCCCTGTTCAACCCTCTGCTCTTTCCTACCCTCACTCTGACCTTGACCCGCAGCTTCTGCCTCTTGGCTCAGCTCAGTAGCCTGCCTTGTGAGAGGTTACCCCTAGTGCTCTCACTGGTAAAGTCCCAAAGCCGTGAGGGGTCTTGTTGACCTTGCTGGAGGGAGTCAAAGAAAGGGGTGATACTGTCAACTCCCCGTCCTTCCTCTGGTCTGCTGGGGAAGGAGCCCCTGGCAAAGCCTCCAAGGACTAGCTAGAGTGGGGTCTGGTGTCCAAGATGCCACAGCAGCTGCAGCCACTGTTTAAATATAATCCAGCTGTCTAACAAGGACGAAGCTTGAGCCAAAACAACCTTACTTACTGAGCAAGCCTGAGGGCCAGAGAGAGAACACTTTTTGTTGAGTTTTGGGCAGCATCAGTCCTCCTTCCTGCCCACCGTCTGCCCCTTCATCAGTCCAGTGTGTTCACTGGCTAGGAAGTTGTCTTAAGAACCTAAGATTGGGCCAGGCCGCTGGATTCCAGAGATTTTGGGGAGGACCTCCAGGCCTCTCACATTATTAGTGCGGGGCCTGTGTCGTTGGAGGTGTGGGTGGGGTGAGCCACAGGCGGAGTGCAGCCTCTGGGGGCTCTGAGCCACCTAGTTCTCCTTCCTCTGGTTCCAGGAGTTCTGTCTTTTTGCTGTCGTGGGCCTGGTCTCCGACTTCTTCCTTCAGATGCTGTTTTTTACCACCGTCCTCTCCATTGACATTCGTCGGATGGAGGTAAGACTGGGCAGAGCTGTACCCTGGCCACCCTCCTCCTCACCCCCGGCTGGTCAGAGCTGGTCCCCTTGTGGGGGCCTGGGAAGAGGAGACCAAGCCCTGACCCTCGCTCCTCTGACAGCTGGCAGACCTGAATAAGCGGCTGCCCCCCGAGGCCTGCCTGCCTCCCGCCAAGCCAGTGGGGCGGCCAGTGCGCCACGAGCGGCAGCTGACCACTCGGCCGTCCACACCCCACACCATCACACTGCAGCCGTCGTCCTTCCGCAACCTGCGGCTCCCCAAGAGGCTGCGTGTCATCTACTTCCTGGCCCGCACCCGCCTGGCACAGCGTCTCATCATGGTACCTACCACCCCACCCTCCCCAAGGCCAGGTCAGATTCCCTTCTGGGGCCACAGGACGCCCCTCAGCCCCTGGCGGCCCCTAGAAGCCCAGCTTTAGGAAGCTCTCTGCCACAGCATCCCTGTCTGGGGGACAGAGGCCCCGGATCCCCTTCTCAGATCGAGGCAAGGGCCTACTGGCTGGTGCGTGGGAACCCACTCACGGCCAACACGCTCTGGGTCCCAGTCCACTGGCTGCTTTGCAGTGTGCAGGCATCAGGAAGTGCCAGGCAAGCCCGGGTGCCACTCCAGGACCTCAGGGAGGTGTGGAGTGAGGTGGTGCTCCTCCCAGGACTGGGACCACCACATACATTCAGAGTTGGCCAGCAGCTGGACCCTCCAGCCACACTGACCACAGGAATGAAGCAGCCAGCTGGGTCCTGGCTGAGGGTGGAGAAGCTGTGAAACCTCCGGACTAGCCAATAATACTCCGGGTGGAAGATCCAACCCCTGACTGTGGAAACAGGCCCCTCCAAGGGCACCTGTGCCACGTCTGGGGAAGAGAGCGCTCAGAACAGCAGAGAGGACTGGGCCATGTACCTTTCCTCCGCCCCCAGGCTTGAGGTCCCTAGACGGCTCCCCAGCCTGAGGGCCAGGGCTGCTGTGGGCTGGGATTGCCCCTTCCTCCCAGGCACCCTGCTGAGCCCCTGGTGCCCCACATCCCTTGCAGGCTGGCACTGTGGTATGGATTGGCATCCTGGTGTATACAGACCCAGCAGGGCTGCGCACCTACCTTGCTGCCCAAGTGACAGAGCAGAGCCCTCTGGGCGAAGGGGCCCTGGCTCCCATGCCTGTGCCCAGCGGCGTGCTGCCCGCCAGCCACGCAGACCCTGCCTTCTCCATCTTCCCACCTGATGTCCCTAAGCCCACCGAAAACCAGTCTTCACCCGGGGAGCCGCCTGGGCCAATGGGGCCAGCAGAGGGCATCCATGACGGCCCAGTTCCAGAGGTGACCTGGGGGCCTGAGGATGAAGAGCTTTGGAGGAAACTGTCCTTCCGCCACTGGCCGACACTCTTCAGCTACTACAACATCACCCTGGCCAAGAGGTGAGCTGGGCTGTGCCAGTTGTAGCCTCGACCCCTGGTGGTGCGGCCCACACACAACTGCCCTTCCTCAGAGCACCTCTCGTTTGAACTCGGCATTTCTTTATATAACTTCACACAGCTGGAGAAGCTGGTATTCCAAGTGGTCATGCCCCCACCGTGGTGCTGGGTGTGAGCTGGAATGAGCCATGCCAGGCTCCTCATGCCAGGAGCAGCGAGGCCTCAGCCCCAGCGGGGCCAGTGGCTGCTTGGAGTCAGGTGTTGGTAGAGGAGCAAGGCTGGGCCCTGAGCCCTGAGCCCTGACTGCCCCAGAGGGGCATCTTTGAGTCTAGCGGGTCCTGCAGGGAGAGTGTGGAGGAGACAGCCAGGACCGGGCGGTGGAAGGAAGGGCCCTCGTGAGACACAGCTCTGAGGCCCCTGCTCGCATCCCAGGTACATCAGCTTGCTGCCTGTCATCCCTGTCACCCTCCGTCTGAACCCACGGGACGCCCTGGAGGGGCGGCATCCAGAGGATGGCCGGAGGGCGTGGCCGCCTCGAGATCCGGGCCCTGCACGCAGTGGGCTCTGGGAGACTGTTCCCGAGGGAGCTGCTGGGGCCCAGCCCCACGGAGACATCACCTTGTACAAGTAAGGCCCTGGAGGGCGTGGGGGCCTGGAAGGCGGGCGCAGGTGCCTCACGGCCTGTCCACCGTGACATGCAGGGTGGCGGCGCTCGGCCTGGCCACGGGCATCGTCCTGGTGCTGCTGCTGCTCTGCCTCTACCGCCTCTTCTGTCCACGCAACTACGGGCAGCCCGGGGGGCCCGGCCGGCGGAAGCGGGGGGATCTGCCATGTGATGACTACGGCTACACGCCACCCGAGACTGAGATCGTGCCCTTGGTGCTGCGTGGGCACCTCATGGTGAGTGCACGGAACGGGGAGGGGGTCGCAGGGACCGTCCTGGACACACAGTACCGCATCCCCTTCTGCTGTAGGACATCGAGTGCTTGGCCAGCGACGGCATGCTGCTGGTGAGCTGCTGCCTGGCGGGCCACATCTGTGTGTGGGACGCGCAGACCGGGGACTGCCTCACCCGCATCCCGCGCCCGGGGTAGGTGCCCCCAGCCAGCCAGCCTGCTCCTCCCGCTCCTTGCCCTCTGCCATCCCCTCCTCTTCTGTCTCTCTCCCTCCCTCCCCGTCCACATCCCCTCCCTCTTCCATGCCCCCACTGGCCACCTGCTAGCTGCCTCCTCCCTGTCCCTCTCACTTCTTCCTGTTTCATGTCCCCACCCAGCCACCACCTCCTCCCTCCTCTATCACCACACATCCTCCGTTCCCCAGCCCCACCCCCTCCTCGATGCCCCCATCCACCTCAACCCTCCTCTGGGCCCCCCAGCAGGCAGCGCCAGGACAGTGGTGTTGGCAGCGTGTTTGAGGCTCAGGAGAGCTGGGAACGGCTGTCAGACGGCGGGAAGGGTGGCCCAGAGGAGTCTGGGGACAGCCCTCCACTGCACCACCGACCCCGGGCCCCTCTGCAACCCTCCCTCTTCGGGGACCAGCCAGACCTCACCTGCCTCATTGACACCAACTTCTCCGCACAGCCGAGGCTGCAGCCTTCAGAGCCCATGCACCCTGAGCCCCGGCATCGGGTGGGCTGCCGGGCTCGGGACTCCAGGGGCTATGACTTCAGCCTCCTGGTACAGCGTGTATACCAGGAAGAGAGGCTGGCTCCTGTTCATGCACCAGCCCTGCGCCCACCCTCACCTGGGCCTGCCCTGCCCCCAGGCCCTGAGGAGGAGGGGGGCTCACCTCCAGAGAAGGGATCCTCTTGCGCCATCTGGGCCCCCAGCACACATGGCTCCATTTGGAGCCTGGAGCTGCAAGGCAACCTCATCGTGGTGGGCCGGAGCAGTGGCCGCCTGGAGGTGGGCAAGGGTACTGGAGATGGTGGGCAAGGGCATTGGAGATGGACAGGGGATTCAAGGTGGCCAGGGGGACTGGAGATACATAGGGGATTTGAGGTGAGCGTGGGCATTGGAAACGGATGGGAGATGGGTGGTGGGCAGAAGGATTGGAGACAGATGGGGAATTCAAGGTGGGCAGAGGGATTGGACACAGGAAGGGGGATTAGACAGACCAGGACAGGAGGTGAGGGGGCTGTTGGTTGGAGATGGGGTGGAGACATACGAGCTGGACAGGAGCTGAACGCTGAGCTGGAGGTGGAGGGGACAGTGGGTGCAGGGGCTCCAGGCCTCCCTGATAAGTCTCTACTTGCAGGTGTGGGATGCCATTGAAGGGGTGCTACGCTGCAGCAGTGAAGAGGTCCCCTCGGGCATCACGGCCCTCGTCTTCCTTGACAAAAGGTGGGTGTGCAGTGCTAGGCTACCGTGGATGGGCTCTGCTGCCTTGAGTGGTGTGGCCCTCACCGTACACCTGGAGGGGCGTCCTTGATGGAAGAGTGATAGCTGCACGAGAAGTGAGGTCCTTAGAAGGCTTCACCTTAGAGGCTGCGAGGAAGTAGGTGAGGACTCAGGTGAAGCTTCCCAGGGCTCTTCTCACTGCTGACCTTGCGTGGGGTTTCTCCAGTATTTTTAGTTTAAAAAATCTATTTTCCTAAGTTACACACCCACCCCCAACCCCTGAACTTTGTCCCTTTGTTTGCTGGACAGTTTTCTCTTTCCTGCTGTGACTTCACTCCACCCTCCAGGGTTCCAACAGCATGCTTTTGGGGATCAGCCACATAAACTTGGGCCTCACCCCTCCCTGCCCAAGGCCTGTTGGTGGACTGCCATCTACCTAGAGCTGGAGCCTCCATTGGCCTGCAGGTGCCCTCTGCCCTTGCATCCGGCATCTTCCTCCCCCAGGCCCTGCTTGCCGGAAGTGCGCCTCTGCACGTCTTTTGTAGCATCAGGCAGTCTGGGGTCCGTGTGATGAGGTCTCCTTTCCCTCTAGGGGCTTTGCCAGGCCAGCCATGGGCCCCTCACTCATTGCCTTTTTCCATTCTTACTTCATTGCATTGCTGTGCCATCATTGGAGCCCGATTTGACCCGTGTTCCTGTGCCAGACCGCCCTGGACAGCGAAGCCCTTATTTCCTTGGGGAAAAGGAAACTGGGTGGGACATGTATGATAGAGCCACCTTTATGTGGGAATCCCATCTAGGCAGGTTCTCTTATGGCCCAATGCCATTTCTCCCTTAGAAACCATCTGAGCACCAGACTGTGCTGGGGAGTCCTCCATTTGCTTACCTTTTTTAACAAAATTTAAAAAAAAAACCTGCTAAACCCCACATAATATTCACCAACGTCAAGTTGGAACCAAATCACAATGGCCTCCATGCAGTGGGTTTTCAGAGGCTATAAATTGAGAGATTGCTGGTCTGTTCCCACAGCAGCTGGTGGACTTGAACCACCTGCCTTTGGGTTGGCAAAGCAACTCCTTACCCACTAGGCCACCAGAGCTGAATGCTCAGTAGACACTTCTGTATTCACTAGGTCTCTTAATCTTCACGACACCCGAGACAGTACATGGCTGATTGTAACCTGGGTTCCCTGACGCCCCAGCATTTGCTCTCCTCTTTTCCAGGATTGTGGCTGCCCGGCTCAATGGTTCCCTTGACTTCTTCTCCTTGGAGACCCACACTGCCCTCAGCCCCCTGCAGTTCAGAGGTCAATGGGCTTGGGATGGGCAGACTCGAGGGTTCAGTGCCTTTCAGAAGGATGCGCTTTCCGAAGCCCCTTACTTTGCCTATTGTCCCCAGGAGCCCCTGGACGAGGCAGTGCCCCCACGTCCCCTGTGTACAGCAGTCGTGACGCGGTGACCTGTCGCCTCACCCACACGGTGCCCTGTGCACACCAGAAGCCCATCACTGCCCTGAAGGCTGCAGCTGGGCGCCTCGTGACTGGAAGCCAAGACCACACACTGAGGGTGAGCGCTGGCGTGACCGGGGCCGGGGCGTGAGCTTCTCAGGTCAGTCACTCCGCAGCTAGAAACGGGCTGCATGAACCTTAAGAGTTTCCTGGCCAACTTGGAAAACAGACCCCTGTACTTCTGCCCACCGCCCTCCTTCCCAGGTGTTCCGTCTAGAGGACTCGTGCTGCCTCTTCACCCTGCAGGGCCACTCGGGGGCCATCACTGCCGTGTACATCGACCAGGTGAGGGCACTTCTGTGGCCTTGGGAGGCAGCGGTAGCCAGGAGACGCCTCATCCAGTAGGCACTGAATACCCTTGTTCTCGAGGTGGTGCCTCACCAGTCTCCCCTTTTTTCTCAGACCATGGTGCTGGCCAGTGGAGGACAAGATGGGGCCATCTGCCTGTGGGACGTGCTGACCGGCAGCCGGGTCAGCCATGTGTTTGCTCACCGGGGAGACGTCACCTCCCTCACCTGCACCACTTCTTGTGTCATCAGTAGCGGCCTGGATGATCTCATTAGTATCTGGGACCGCAGCACTGGCATCAAGCTCTATTCTATTCAGCAGGTAGGTGGGTCGGGGCAGGCGCACCCCGGGTCTTGGCTGTTTAGGAGTGGAGGCTCTGAGCCTATCTTATCTTTGCCTATAGGACCTGGGTTGTGGTGCAAGCTTGGGTGTCATCTCGGACAACCTGCTGGTGACCGGCGGCCAGGGCTGTGTCTCCTTTTGGGACCTCAACTACGGGGACCTCTTGCAGACAGTCTACCTGGGAAAGAACAGTGATGCCCAGCCTGCCCGCCAGATCCTAGTGCTGGACAATGCCGCCATCGTCTGCAACTTTGGCAGTGAGCTCAGCCTGGTGTACGTGCCCTCTGTGCTGGAAAAGCTGGACTGAGGGGCAGCAACCGAGACACTCGGACTGGCGTGTTCTGTGGGGTCAGCACACTGGACTGAGACTCAAGGGATGGAACCAAGTGTCTGTCCTGCCTCCAATAAACTTTTCTAAAATTCACGTCTACCACGGTCCTGGTGAGGTACTTGCATCCTTCCAGAGGAACGCCCACCTCCCTCCCTTGTGCTGTATCCAGGAGGTGTATAGATGCCTTGTCTAGGGAGTGTTATGGGCAGAGCTTAAAAACTAGTTATCAAAGCACGTCACAGGGCACCAAGGACCCTCCAGCACCAGATGGACTCAGAACAGGTGGGTTTATTTTATTATAGCAAAGAGCTGAAAAAGGTCAGGTCCCACAAAGGAGCAGAACTGGGCTCTGGGCTCATGGGACCTCTCCACCCACAGAGGTGCGGGCCCAGTCAGGCCGGAAGGCAGCAGGAATGGGGGAGGTGGCTGTGCCTACATGAGAGCGCCTGGGGAACAGGCACCTGCAGGGAACAGGCCAGCGGGCACTGGAGATGATGTAGTGTGAGGGCCACGGAGGAAGAACCTGGTCAGGTTTTGTTGAGTGTCCACAGTGGGTCTAGAAGGCTGAGAGGGTCATCGGCAGGCCGGGCAGCACGAAGCCCCTGCCCGTTATGGGCTTGTAGAAAGTTCTGCTTGCTCATCCGCTGTTTTCCTCGCAAAGAGCTGTCCAGGGAGAAAGCCTCAGGGGTCAAGGAGGCCAGAAGCTCCAGAGAAGAAGAAGAAGGGGGTGCTGGGCTGGGAGCCTCGGGCACCGGCACCACCTCCTCAGGCTGGGGTGCCTCTGGCAGTGGGGAGGCCGGAGGCGGCGAGGAGGAGGTGGGGATCTGGGGGGGCTCTGTGAGGCTGGCTGGAGGCGGGCCTGGGGGCTCTGTGGGGCCTGGCAGACTGGCAGCCAGGGCCTCCACGCCTCCAGCTGGCCGGATGCTCAGCTTGGCGATAGTGGCCTGGATAGAGCTGATGGGCACATCACCTCCAAGGACCAGGTCCTGGGAATCCTGAGGCAGGTGGTTCTGAGGAAACGGACATGATGAGCTGATGGGCAATAGGAGGCGGGCGGCCCAGCAGCCCCTCAGTTTCCGCTCACCTTCTGAGTGACCCCAGTGTTGGCCGAGGGCTTGCAGGGAGGGGGCAGGCCATGGCGCTGGAGGACCTGCTCCACGTGTCTCACTACCGCTTCGTGACAGAACCTCAGGTGCAGCTGCAGAGGTGCATGCAGTCAGCCCGGTGCAGGGCCAGCAGGGCAGCTCTGCCCGCCCTGCCGCCCGCCCAGCCTCACCTTCTCCTGCAGCATGTGTTTCCTCTGCTGCCGCATGCGCCGCACCAGCTGAGGCAGCTCTGGGATCCCGTTCCCGGCCTCCACCTCCTGCACAGCCGCATAGAGCAGGGCGAAGGCCCCCGTGCGGCCCACACCAGAGCTGGGGGGAATGGGCAGGTGAGGTCGGGCTCAGAGTGCACAGGGGCCTCAGGCGTACGCCCACCCCTTACCCACCTGCAGTGCACGACGATAGGGGTATGCAGGGGCCTCTGGTGCAGGTAGTGTGCGTGCACCTCCTGGATGAATCGCAGCAGGTTGCTGGGGTTGTCTGGGAGGCCTCTGTAGGGCAGGTGGGGTCTCTGAGCCAGGCCTGAGCGCACAGCAAAGGTGAGGTTCCCCACCTAACACCCACCCATCCACTGTCCGAGGGGCACGCACAGCTCAGGCCAGGTGGGGAAATGCAGGTGCACGAGGGAGCGCTTGAGGCTCTGGTCCCGGAACTGCAGGCTCAGCACACGCTCCACATGGGTTTCAGTGGTCCGCACGCTGCTCAGGGCCAAGCTGAGGGCCCCGTGCACCATGGACTGGCCCCTCTCCGTGGGGAAGTAGCGGGTCACCTTTTGCTGTTGGGCAGACAGGCAGTTAGCGCTCCTTTGTCAGGGTCCCTCCCCCCTTCCAACCTGAGGGCACCTAACCCCTCACCTTCTCCATCTCCGCCTCGGAAACCAGCATGACAATAACTGACACCTTCTGCTCATGCACCATGAGCCAGAAATCAGCCGCTGTGCCGGGCAGTGGGGCCTGTGTGGCCACCAAGGGCGGGCAATATGGCGAGAGCCCCTCCAAGCGGCTGGCGTTGATGTAGTCGTCCTTGCCGGAGCGCAGGACCACGCGGTTACTGTCGTAGGGCATGACGTCCTGGTGCCGGTTCTTGAGGGAGTAGCAGCGGGCGATGGCAATAGACCGGCCCCGAGCATCGTGCTCCTGTGCATCCTGCAGCTCCCGCCACACAGTGTCCAGAGCCCCTGCATCCCCTAACTGGCCCCTAAAGGCCTCTAGTTCCTGCTGCAGCTGCTGGAGCCTCTCGGGGTGCTCATAAGGGTCCCGTTCAATCAGTCGCAGCGCCTGAGGCCTACGGCCCTCTGCTGCGTCTACCTTGGTGGGCTGCAGCAGGGGCTGGCCACCTCCTGGAGGCTGGGAGCCACCGTGCTGGCTCTCGGGGCTGGAGGAGAGCAGGTCTGCAGCTGCAGAGCCTCGGCGTGGGCACGGGGGTGGCTCTGCTGCAGGCGGCCGAGGGGAAACCGGGCCAGGTGCTGGGGATGGGGCAGGTGAAGGCACCAGGTGGGGACTGGGGGTGGGCTGGCTGGCAGGTGGGGGGCCTCGGATGGCAAGAGGGGCAACCTGGGGACCCAGGGGCCTGGGGGATGGGGCAGGGCCATATGCCAAGGTGGGATGGGGAGGCTGAGGGGGCCCAGGACTTCGGAAAGGCAGAGCCCCTGAGCGAGGGGGCAGAGGGTCTTGTGCAGGGCCTGGATAGAGCTGAGTGTGCATGGGGGGTGGCACCTGCCCTAGGACACCAGGCTGAGGGGTAAAAGGGAAGGGTGGCTGAGGGGGAAGGGGGCCTGGGGCCTGGGGAGGGAAGAGGTGTGGGTGCTGGAGTGGAAGAGGCTGTGGTGGAGGCTGAGGCCCAAACGTTGCTCGTGTAGGATGGGGCTGGGGCTGGGGCTGAGGCGCAACCCTGGGGCCTGGAAAACCTGTGTGGATCCTGGGGGGGAAGTGGTGCTGGGCTGGGGGGACAGGGAGGGGCTGCTTGGTCCCCACTGGGTAGGCATAGGGTGTGCCCAGTGGCTGTGGTGGGGGCACAGGGAAGCAAGGCTGGGCAGGAACGGGGGTAGGGTTGGGCCTTGGAGCTGGATGGCTTGGGATGGGGGCCTGGACACTGTCTACTGTGGTGGTGGCTGGTCTGACCCCCATGGTCAACTCAGGGCCTGAGAAGTGGGGAGGTGGGGCTGAGGGCAAACCTGCAACTGGTGGCAGTGGCCCTACCCCTCCATAGGGACCAGTCACCACAGCATGCTGGGGGGAGGACCTCGGCACAAGGCCCAGCTCTGGAGTGTAGGCAGGGGTAGCAAAGAGGGCAGGCCCAGGAGCCACAGCCATTGCGGGGGGCCCTGGGACTTGAGGGGCCCTGGGCTGGAGAAGTGGGGTAGGACCCGAGTAGGTACCAGGGGGCAAAGGGCCTGGGAGATAGTGAGGGCCTGGGCCTGTGGAGCTAGGGAAGGGGGTGGGAGTAAAGTGGAGGGGGGTAGCTGCTGCCAGGAAGGTGTCGGGGGGTCGTGGCCCAGCCCCCATATCATGGGGAAGACTGCGCAGTTCCTCAGGCAGGTCTCCCGGCTCCACCTCCCCCTCCTCCCTGCGTGGCAGCAGTGGCTTTGGAGCTGTGGGTCGTGGTGGCGGCTTTTTTTTCAACTCCCTGTGGAGCGGAGATGAAGGGGATGCCTGACTGACTCACAGCCACACTACCGGGGGGTGTGTGGGTGTGTGGTGTGTGTCTAACACCCACCTGTCGAGGAGCTGCTGGCGGGCGGCCTCCCGGGCCTGGCAGGTAGACTGGGCCCGTTCCAGAAGCGCAGCCACCTTGCTCTCCAGGTCTGCGTAGAAGTCTTTGCCTTCCTGAGACTTCTTCATCAGGTCCTCATAGGCTTCGTAGGAGGCCACCAGTGTCTGCAGCGTGGAGTTCCACCTGCAGGGCGGAAGGGCTGGCATGAGGCGAGCAGCAGGACAGGGCAGGGCGGGGCGGATGCTACAGGGGCTCAGGGGCCGGGCACTGACTTCTGGTCCAGCTCGCTGAGGACTCGCCGCACGGCTGCATACTGCACGTTGGCCTCCGTCAGTGCTCGGAGGACGTTGTCCTGCGCGGCCAGGTTCTGTTCCAGGTACACCCTCAGCTGGTCGTACTTCTTTAGCTGCTCTTCAAACAGCTTCTAAGGGGGCACATTGGGAGGGACACTCAGGGCACAGCCACCTAAGGGTGGAGCTGAGCTAGAGCCCTGCACCCGAGCCCACCTTCATTTCCGAGTGGTCTGTGGTCACCAGCGAGGCAGTGATGTCATCTTTCTGGATAAGCTCCCGCAGCTGCTGCTCCAGGGACACGCGCTGATCTCGCATCTCCTGCACTTTAGCCAGGATGCGCTTTAGGTTCTGCAGCACGGCCTTGTCCTCTGGAAAGAGCAGGAGTCAGTGAGGCTGGGGGGTGGGGGGTGGCCCCCAGCCTTACAGCTCCAGGGTGGGGGTGGGCTCACCTGGGGTGAGGGGCGGGGGTGGGGAGGGCAGCCCGGACCTGGTCCAGAGGCCCACTGAGCAAGCGCAGGTTGCCCACGTGCAGGTTCATGGCGCGATGCAGCTCACTGTTGGTGAAGGAGGCCTTCTCGTGGACCTCCATGTACTTGGCCCATTCTCGCCTCACCTCTGCCAGCTCGGCTTTGGGGGCTGCTGGGCTGGTCCCCGCCTGACCCATTGCCTCCTGGAACTTCTGCTCTAGCAGCTCCTCCTCTTCCAGCAGCTCCCTGATGTCCTTCAGGGAGGCCTCCACATCCGTGAATACGCCTGACAGCACTGTGGGGGTGGGGCGGGAGTAGGGGAGCAGCCAATCTTGGAGATCAGACATGGGGCTGTGGTCTAAGGAGGCAATGGGGCAGATGCCTGCACTTCACCCGGCGTGCTCCATTCCCGCCCTCACTCACCCTGCATGGACTGAACAAGGTTCCTGACTGTGTCAGGCCGTACACTGAGGGCGGCACACTTCTCCATGAGCTGAGGCGGGATGTGGCTGTACATGTCAAGGTTATCCACCGTCTCAGGATCCAGCTGCATGGAGTCCATGAACTGGCTGTGGAATCAACAGGAAAAGCCAGAGTGAGCCTCACCCAAGAGCCAGGCCTTACCGAAAACATAAAGTGCAAGGGACATCCTCCCCTCCCCCCGCAAGACAGTCACTCTCATTCCAGCAAGGTAGCCCACAAGGCCCAGAGGGAAGCTAAGAAGCTCTCTGCCTAAGAAGCTGGTTCACTCCTCCTTCCCTGCACAGGACCCACCAGGACCCTAGATGGGTGGACCTCTCATGCCTTCCAGCCCTGTCCCGCACTCACTCCAAGACCTCGTTCTTGTCTTCAATCTTGGCCATCATTTCCCGAAGTAGCTTGGCCTTCTCCTCGCTGCAGGGAAGTGACAAAGCTGCTGTTAGGGGCCTCTGGTCTCCAGATGCCCTGAGTTCACCTGTGCTAAGCACAGGGCCAGCTTCTCCTACCCACCTGTACAGTGACGAGGCCTCATGGGCAGCCATGGGCACCAATTTGGCGAAAATGTCAGGGCCTGTGACTGCAGGGTCTGTGGGGTTCACTGGCAAGGGCTTCACCAGGGGGGCTCCTGGGGGCAGAACTGGAGTTAGCGCGCCCACAGAGAGCCTGGAGAGGGCCTGCCCCTCTTGCCTGCCCCTCATCGTCAGCCCTACCCCGATCCTCAGCCTTTTCTCTGCTTCCAGACCTTTTACAGGCTGAAGGGTGTCCAGTGGTGGGACTGCCTCATGGTAGATGAAGTCATTGTCCTTCTTAGCAGAATTGTACCTAGGAGGAAGGTGTGGGGAAGTCCCAGGGGTTGGCACAAATCCAGGACCCAGCCTCCCGAGGATGCAGGCGGGGAGATGAGGCTCTTTAGGACCAGGGCCACCCTCAAGCCACCTCACAGACTCACTTTCCCCCAATGACATCCATAGCGAAGCGAAGCGCGTCCTGCACAGTGTCCGGCTGGCCCTGCAGAGATGAGGCAGGGCATCAGCACCAGGCACGCCTCGGCCATGGACCCACACTGTGGGTGTTGAATGGCCAACCAGGCTTAATCTCAACTTTACCTTGGCCAACTTGATAGCTTCATTGAGTTTGTCCAGGGCACTCTGGAAATATGCAACCTGCAGAGACCAGAGTCTGGTCTGACCTTTGCAGTGTGGACCTCGACTCCTTGCCTCCCCACCTAGCTCTGCCATCAGATGTCCCCTCCAAAGACAGGACAGAGCCAGCCCCAGTAATCCAGTTAAGGGCATCAGGGTTAGGGTCACACCTCGCTTCCCTACAGCATACACTGCCAGCCAGCCAGCCCCCTGCAGGAAGCCTATGACCCTACCTCAGACTCCAGGTGAGAGGACACATTAAGCAGCACCAGGTGGAGGTGGAGACCCGAAACCACCTGGCTCACATCTAAAGGAGCAAGCCAGCTGCAATCTCACTAAGAGACCCGCCCAGCTTCGCGGCCCCTCCTCGCCACAGCTCACTCACCCGCTCCCCGAACTTCTGCTGCTCCTCTGCCTGCTTCCCCATGTGCAGCTAGAAGAGAAGAAGGGAGGTCACGATTTGCTCCCCGAGTTGTGGCCTCTGAGCCCAGCAGCCCCAGTGGCTGTGCCGCCCTCACATGAGCTACGGCTGCAAAGTAGTAGATCTTCATCTGCACGAGCTTCTTCCAGTCCTTCTGGATGCGGCCCAGCAGCGAGGCGGTGTCCGGGTTCTCCAGCGCCCGGCAGGCCTCCTTGTAGTAATCAACGACCTAGGGGCCCACCAGCAAGGGATCCAGAGTAAGCCAAGGCCTGTGTTCAAGGCCCTGGATGCTCACGATCTCCCCGGTCCCTACCTGGGCACTGATGCGGGCCACCAAGAAGCTCTTCCTGTTGTCCAGCATCGACTTCTCCAGGAGGCATTCCTGAGCCTGGCCCTGAGACAGTGGGCACAGGGTCCTCCTAGTTCAGCCAGTCCGTCCCCACTAGGAGGGGCACAGGGATCCTGTGCTCTTCTCCAACCCCTCTTTACTCCAAGAAGCACATCCATGCTCCGGGCTGCCTCCAAGTTCCAAACACCAAAGCCCAGGCTCCCTGACTGTCTCGCTGTCCACCCAGACATGCATGACCCAGCCCTGTCCCTCCTACTGGCTATCTCCTCACCAGCATGAGGTTGACATTCAGAGTGAGGATCTGGCGGCTCATGTCCACACTGTAGGCCTGGGGGAAGTGCTCGCGCAGGTAAGCAAAGGCGCCGGCCGCACACTGGAAGTGAGTGCAGGAGACCTTCATGCCCTGGGAGGAGGAGGAGGAGGACTATGGGCAGAGCCAAGGAAGCTACTGTGTCTCCGCCATGGCAGGATCCAGTGAAACCTATCCCTTCCTGCTAAGCCCCCACATGCCGCTCAGGGCCACTCCTCACCTCCTCAGACACCCGCTTGTCCATGGCCCCCAACATGGAGTGCAGAGCCCCTGGAAAGGCAGAGGACACGGTGTCAGGACAAGCCTGGGCTGCTCTCCACAGGCTGTCTGACATGTGCTGGGATTGAGGCACGGGAGGTGGGTTCTTAACCAAAACCAGGAGGGACCTGGGTCTGGACCTGGTCCCAAGCTGGCACAAACAAGGAAGCTCAGAATCTGGCCAAAGTCCTCTGTGTCCCACTTTGCACATGGCAGCAGCCAGGGTGCAGAGAACAGAGGGCTTCTCACAATAGCCTGAATCTAGAGGCCCAGGCCTGACATTTCAGGGATGCCCCAGAGAGTGCTGGGATTCCACATGCTTCTTCTGAAACCAGGCTGATGGTGGCCTAAGAGGGGTTAAGGGACGGAACAGGTAGGCTAGCCTGTTCTCCCTCTGCCCAAAACAGCCCACAGCCACAGGCCAAGGGGAAGATCTGGCTAGAGCAGAAAGGAAGTAGCTCTCCTGGCTGAGAGAGTGGGGGGGCATGCCGTGGCAGTTAGCCCAGCAGAGTCCCTCCCTATAGGGGTAGTTTCTAGGACCCCCAAAACCAGCAGGTAAACATCCGAGCTCTGAGGAAGGGTGTGGAGGGGTCAGAACCCAGGTCTCTTCCCTCTGTCAGCCTCTGTGATTAGCTACAGTGGCGATCCTGGGCTGCAGGGCTCAGATGCAGGATCGGAAGAAAGGCTCTAACAGGAGCTCACCAAGGTTGTAGAGGATGCAGGCTTGCTCATACTTGATGTCCTCATGAGACACAGACTTGCCTGAGAAGATCTCTGTCCTGCAGACAGGCCACCCAGTCAGCTTGAGGGAAGCGGTTGGCCAACACCCAAGACACGGGACCAGTCACCCCAGTATGGAGTTACGTGGAGGTGAGAGAAAGAACAGTCCTACCACCCCCACGTTCCCAGCACCCCTCCCCCCCCCAGCCCTGCCTGCCAGGTCTCACCAGGTGACAGGCACAGCAGCCTCCTGGCTCGAGCCCATGGGGACACGACTCTGCAGATAGTGGAGCTGGCCCAGGTACTTGCGGAGGACACTGCAACCCTCAAAGTCCCGTGCCACACGGACTGCATTCTGGGAGGACAGGAGAGGAAGGCCTGCATCACTTGGGGTGGGACTTCCTCTCAGAGCTAGGTGGCTGCACAGGACCCACAGCTCCATCGGTAGCTACCTGGCACACTACTGCCCTTCACAGAGCCGCTGAAACACACATTCGAGTTCTGAACGCATTTAACTTTTGACTGATAACTCTACATCTAATAATGCTCAGTAAGAAGTTCTAAAAAAAATGACTAAAGTTTTGCTTACAAAGATACTTATCACACCATTACCAACAGGATCAAAACTGGACCCCAATATTTTCATTAAAGAAGAGTGTTTATGTCAGAACTACCGACACAAGCCTTAGACACTGAAGACCAGAGTCTCCTGTGATCCATGTTAAGATGCACATGACATACAGGTAACAGATGAATGGTGGTATTTCACTGGTGTAGAATCATGAAAAAACACCAATAAACAGGTATATGTTGTTGTTGTTGTTATGTGCTGTCGAGTCGCTTACGACTCATAGCGACCCCATGTACAACGGCCCTAAACTCTGCTCTGTCCTGTGGCAACTGCACTGTCTGATACACCCATCCCAATTACCCCAGTCACTGAATCAATCCACCTCATAGAGGGCCTTCCCCTCCTGCGCTGTCCCTCCACCCTATCAAGCATGATGTCCCTCTCAAACATAAATATCCAAAAGGCTGAATACCAAAATATCAACTGGAATATGTGGGATTTCTCTGTCTCACATGTTGTTGTTATGTGCGGTCAAGTCGCCTGTAACTCATAGTGATCCTATGTACGACAGCCCTAAACCCTGATCTATCCAATTTTATTGTCTCTGAAGAGACATTACTCCAGTCACTGAATCAATCCATCTCATTGAGGGTCTTCCTCTCTTGTGCTATCCCTCCACCCTACCAAGCATGATATCCCTCTCTAAGGACTGGTCCGTCCTTGCAACATGTCCAAAGTATGTAAGATAAAGCTTCAGAATTCTTGCCTATGCATCAGAAAGCTGGACAATGACTAGGACTGATGGACGTAGAAATGATGCTCTTGAGCTGTGGTGCTGGAGAAGAGTACTGAATATAACATGGACAAACAGGAATATAACATGGAGAACAAACAGGTTTGTCCTAGAAAGGGTGAAACCAGGCTGTTCCTTGGAAGAAGGATTCTGAAGCTGTCTCACATACATGTACACATATACTGTAGAGTTAAACAGTTTCCATGTTTATAAGCAACAAAGCTATTCTCTTTGTAGGGGTACAACCCCACCCCTATAACAGAAGAGGCAAGTTCTGTGAGAGGGAAAAGGCCAGAGCAGCATGCCAGGAGCCAAGGGGCCCAGGAGAAGTGCAGCTTGCTTGGGGTCCAGACAAGTCCTCAAGCATGATGCTCTGGAGTGCTCAGTTCCAAGCTGCCCACATGCAGGTCTCTGGGATACAAACACAGAAGAGTCCCTGCACTACACCAAGTGCCTGTCCTGTTGTGGGGAGATGGCCTTTGGGTGTCCACCCAGTTTCCTCTTTAAAAAGGGATGATATCGCCCCCTTGTGGTAGGGCCTCTAGAATGACTAGTGCATGGACAAGTGGCATTCTCCTCTCAAATGTCACCATTCTTATCAAAACTCCACATTTACTTTATAAACATTTCCTTAAAAACCCAACCCTATCTTAAGCAGAAGCATACATGAAATATCAATTTGCTATAACACAAAGCATACACACAAAATATTAAAAATATCTGTCTTAGAATTCTAGGCAGACAGAGTGAGCAGGCCCAGTTCCCCAACCTTCCTTACATATACGCTCAAAAAAACAAAGCACAACTAGAAACACAAGGTTGTAATAATGTAGAAAACTGTATGAACTACCAAGGGTAGTAACCGCTAAGGAATTACATAAAGTATGTACACAAAAGAGAATCAAAGCAATTCGTAGAATGGGACTGTCCTTGGGGTTAGGGAGACACTGAGTAAGATGGGTTCAATAATGTATACTGCACTGAAACAGAGGAGGGAGAGAACCGTTTAA